TATTTTTAAAAAGTCTTAATAGAAATTGTGTCATTTATAAATATAAAATGTGTTTCCAAGGGAGACCTAAACACTCCACTGCCCAGGCGACCTTGCCACCATGCAGAGACAGGTGCCCTAGAAGCCTGCAGTGTAGCCCCAACCCAGAAGTGGATTGGAACGTTGACACTGGCCCTCTGAGGGGCACCCATTTTGCTGGCACGGATTGTAGCAGAGCTGGTGTGGTTCTGAGGCCAACAGCTGCAGCAGCACCGGCCTGGTCCTGCCGCTTCCTGATCATGACACAGACAATACACCCCTCTGCCTGCCAGTTCTGCACGGTGGCTTTGGGCGTTGTTCCTGAAACCAAGCCCTGCTTCTTCAGGCCTCCCAGTGGCTCTGTGAGCAGTATACAGCCTCAAAAAAAGGGATCGTTTTCTAGTATGGCTCCAGTGGCGTGAAACCAAGAGTCCTGGCCATTCTTCTAACTAACGTACTCAGTACACTCAGCACGCAAATGGTCACACACCAAAACTCATGGAAAGTACCCGTCTAGTCTGACTTATCAGAATGAGTTTTCCCCAGAAAATGTGGATTTTGACATGTTTTGAGTAAAAAAAGAAATGGGTATAGGAAAGATCTAGATTAGCGCATAAAACATAATTAATGACAAAAGTGTGTCCTATGTTAACATGTCCAAAAAGTGTATTCAATCAAAAAAAATCACAAGACATGCCAAAAAAGCAAGACAAAATAACCTACAAAAAAAAAATTTCTTTGAGGAGTGGGTTTCAGGTCTTTTTGACAGTCAAACAAAAATTACAAGAAATGCAAAAAAAAAAGGGGCAAGATAAAATAAACCACTGTCAAGAGATAAAGCAATCACGTCCTGGCCGGTTTGGCTCAGTGCATAGAGCGTCGGCCTGGGGACTGAAAGGTCCCAGGTTCAATTCCGGTCAAGAGCACATGCCCAGGTTGTGGGCTCAATCCCCAGTCAGGGGCATGCAGGAGGCAGCCAGTCAATGATTCTCTCTCATCATTGATGTTTCTATATCTCTCTACCTCTGCTTTTCTCTCTGAAATCAATAAAAATATATATATTTTTTAAAAAAGATAAAGCAATCAGCAGAACCAGCTTCAGAAATGACCGTAATGTTGACACTATCAGAGATTTTAAAATAACTATGAATAATGTGTTAATATAATGGAAAGGTGAATAACATGTATGAACAGATGGAGGATTTTAGGATAAATTAAAACTATATTTAAAAATCACATGGCCCAGCCCGCGTAGCTCAGTGGTTGAGTGTTGACCTATGAACTAGGAGGTCGCAGTTGATTCCCAGTCAGGGCACATGCTCAGGTTGCGGGGATGGTCCCTGGTGTGGGGTGTGCAGGCAGCAGCCAATCGATGACTCCCTCTCATCATTGATGTTTCTATCTCTCTCCCTCTTCCTTCCTCTCTGAAATCAATACAAATATTTTTTTTAAAAAAAATCAAATGGAGTCCCTGCCAGTTTGGCTCAGTGGATAGAGCATCAGCCTGCGGACTACAGGGCCCTAGGTTCAATTCTGGCCAAGGGCACATGCCCAGGTTGCGGGCTCCATCCTCCCTCCCCCTTCAGTAGGGAGCCTGCAGGAGGCAGCCAATCAATGATTCTCTCTCATCATTGATGTTTCTACCTCTCTATCTCTCTCCCTTCCTCTCTGAAATCAATAATATATATTTTTTATAAAAAAATAAAATGGAAATACAGAAATAAAAATCATCACATCAGTGGGGAATAATTCCTCTGATAGGCTCTTCAGTATATGCGGCACAGCTGAGGAAAGACTCAGTGAACTTAAAGATAGGTCAGCAGAGTGTTTGCTTCGACAGCACATATACTAAAATTGGAGCAATACAGAGAAGATTAGCATGGCCCCTGCGCAAGGATGACACGCAAAGTCGTGAAGCGTTCCATATTTAAAAAAAGAAAAGAAAAGAAAAACAAAAGATAGGTCAGTAGAAATTGTCTAATTAAAATACAAGTAGAAAAAAAAGAACAGTATATAAGAGCTATGTAGCTATGGGACAATATCAAATGCTCTAATATACGGATAATTGGAATCTCAGAAGAAAAAAAGAAAGAATAGGATATAAGAAATATTTGAAGTGATAATGGCCTAGAATTTCCCCCAAAATAATGAAAGACATCAAACCATTGATATAAGAACCTCAGAGAGCCCTACATAGGATAAACAGAAAGAAAAGGGGACAAAACACCTAGACACATCATAGTTTAGCTAATGAAAACCAAAGACAAAGAGAAAATCTTGAAAGTACCCAAGACAAAAGAAACATCACATGCAGAGAAACCAAGACAAGAATTACAGTAGATTTCTCATTAAAAACCGAAAATTTAAAAATAATAACAATGACAAAATTTACATCACTATCTCAAGAAAAAGTTGTCTAATCACAAATTGAAAAAAAATTGCCTATGAATGATATACATCATACTATATATTGCATGTTGCATAATATACATCATATATACTTCTTATTCAAAGATATCTACAGCCCTAGCTGGTTTGGCTCAGTGGATAGAGTGTCAGCCTGAGGAATGAAGGATCCCGGGTTCGATTCCAGTCAAGGGCACATGCCCAGTTGCCTGCTTAATCCCCAGTAGGGGGCGTGCAGGAGGCAGCTGATCAATGATTCTCTCTTATCATTGATGTTTCTATCTCTTTCTCCCCTCTCCCTCTCTGAAATCAATACAAATAAAAAATAAAATAATAATAATGAAAGAATACAGTATCTACAAACAATGGCAATCTAACCATTATGTACGTTTAACACATTACAAAGAGAAGGAAGCATTCCGATACATCTCTTAGTGAGGCCTTCCAACCTGGTTAGTCCATTTTAATAGCCTCTCTAGATCATTGTGGCTATTCTAGATACTATACCCAAACTCAACAAGTGGTAGTTTCTTAGAGATTAGTTATAATGTAGAATCTGAAACCATATCAATGAATTATTCAAACTCTGCTACATTAAAGTCCATTGGTCTGTCTTGAACTTTGAATGGATCATTTACCCATGTCATGAATTGATGGTTTGATAATAATCAGATCTGTGAGTTATGTGAGATCTTCCAAATGTTAATACATTTCATTACACAGTAACCACATTTACTAATATTATTACCAAACTCATCAGTAAAGCCTTTGAGTATTGGAACACTGTCATATTCAATATGATTGTTCCAAAATTCACATTAAAAGCTCACATTGTATCCCTGGCAACAAATACTGTCTGTTGTTTTTGAAGTGACAGACTCACTTTGCTAATTTTCCAGAAAATGTCTGCCAAATACCAGAGATTTAATAACCATAGTTTTGTAAGTCGTTCTTTCAACTAAAAACAGTGTTCCATGAAAAAGATCAACCAGTCCAGCTCACCATTCGAACAGTCCTACTGCGTTCAGTTTGCGGCAGTCGTGCTCTTTGCATGCTTCCCATTCCACTGCATGCTATTCAATAGATGTACTCAAGGATCAAGATTTGATAAAATTAATAATTGTTACTGTTTGATCAAAGATATTCTTAAATGAAACTGATTTTTTTTTTTTTACTGTGGGTGCATGGCAATGAAGAATAGAATGACTTCTCGTATAATTTGATATCACTGACTTAAGCTATTCTAAGGAAGGCACCAGCAGTTTTATGCACCATTGCTCTTGTACCATCAGAGCAAATGTCAACACAATGAAAAAGGCAAAAACATTTGGCTCTATTATGAAAATATATGGCCTAACAGACCCCAAAAGAGGTTTCAGGCTCTCAGAGGTCTATATACTCCACTTTGAGAACTGGTGCTTTAACCTCAAAGTGCTCAGCTTACCTTAAGAGGTCACCTGCCAGCTGCATTTAGAAAGGCAGCATCTATATATATAAAAGGCTAATGTGCAGTGTCCCCTCAGGAGTTGGACGGAAAGACTGGGAGTTCAATCGCTCGCTATGATGTGCACTGACCACCAGAGGGCGGTGAAGAATGAGGGAAGGAAGGCCCCAGCTGGCAGCCAGAGGCCCCAATCAGCCCTGATAGCAGACCAGGCCTAGGGACCCTACCCGTGCACGAGTTTCGGGCCTCTAGTGGTAAAAGAACAGAATGGAGATTTGGTATTAAAAAGATCTGGTTTCAAATCTCAATACTCCCCCATACTAGCTGTGTTACTAGTTAGTATATCTAAGGTTCTTATTCTAAACTCTCAGTTTAACTTTCCCCTATCATGATGGGGAAATGATATACACACAGACACATACTCCAACTTGGGAGGAGGAAAAAAATGACCTGCTTTGCATGCAAATGCCAGCAGTTTAAAATGTCTATGACTTAAGGTAGGTTTTTAAATTTTGTTTAACAATATCCATTATTAGCAAAAGTATACAAAAATGGATTCTCTGGTGAGGTTGCAAATGTATACATTCTGAAGAACAATTTTTTTTTAATATATTTTATTGATTTTTTACAGAGAGGAAGGGAGAGAGATAGAGAGTTAGAAACATCGATGAGAGAGAAACATCAACCAGCTGGGGATGTGCCCGCAACCCAGGTACATGCCCTTGACCGGAATCGAACCCGGGACCTTTCAGCCCGCAGTCCGATGCTCTATCCACTGAGCCAAACCGGTTTCGGCCTGAAGAACAATTTGATAATATGAATCAAAATCAGGCTTAACCTTTAACTCAGCAATTCTGCTTCTAGCAAACTTACTGAAAAAAATTCAGAAATAGGGATGTTCATCACAATGTCACATATAACAGCAACAGGTCAAAAACAATCCAGATATTTAAAATGAAATATGTCTGCCGAAACCGGTTTGGCTCAGTGGATAGAGCGTCGGCCTGCGGACTGAAAGGTCGCAGGTTCAATTCCGGTCAGGGGCATGTACCTGGGTTGCGGGCACATCCCCAGTAGGAGATGTGCAGGAGGCAGCTGATCGATGTTTCTCTCTCATCGATGTTTCTAACTCTCTATCCCTCTCCCTTCCTCTCTGTAAAAAATCAATAAAATATATTTTTTTAAAAATAAAATGAAATATGTCAAAAAAATATGATGGCTTAGCCTGGTACCAGATTTGGTTAGAAACACATCTATGCTATTTGCAGCTGTGTGATCCTGGACCAGTAACCCAACCTATCTGTTTCTCACTTGTGTCATCTGTAAATTACCTGACATGGTAGCAGTGAAGATAAAATAAAATTAAAGAAAAAAAAAGTCCTAACATTTAGAAAATCCCTCAGTGCAAGATAGCTGCTACTAATAATAGAATGCCAGGCAATTAGCAATTTATTAAAGTTATATATTTACACATGTTGACAAAGAAGCAAATCATAAACTATTAAGGAAAAACGCAGGCTATATAACTCAATGTATGGTATAATCCTATTCTTGTAAAATAAAATACCTACATGTAGAAAGAAGTCTTAAAAGATATACAGAAAAAGGTTAATGTGTTCATTCTGGCTAGTGGAATTGAGTGTTTTTTAAATTATTTAGCAATTGATTTTATCATGAAAATGTGTTACTTTTGTAACAAATTTAAAAGTCTATGAAAATTTTAAACATTACCGATTACCCAATCATGATACGGTATTTTCAAATTTTACAGAAGTTTGCTTGAATTTGGACTTCGGCTTTCTTGCTCCTTTCTCAGACAGGGAGATGGGAAACTATTCTTAAGATGTTACCACATTCTTAGGGAATTACTAGACGCCAACTCGCATATCAAAAAAGCTAATACCAAAGACCTAACACCCAAGTTAAAATAAGAAATCTATCCTACCTTCAGGAAATCCAGGTCCTCTTTGTGCCTGTAGAAAGGGTCGTACTCTTTTGGGTCATAGTGCTCTATGAAAGCACTTCCCTACGGGAAGGAAATAAGCCGCACATAAGAACAAGAGGTGCACAATTCATTCTGAGCACAGCAGGACTCAAGAGTCAAAACACAAACCCACTTTAATGCTTCTGAATGGCATCAGTAACAAGTGCAAAAGGGAAGGCAAGACCAGATTCTAAGTTACATTTAATGTATCCAAGTAATACACACTATAGTGAAAGGCAGAACTTACTTAAAATTTGTAAGATTTTAATAACGAATTTTGGAACACTAAAAGATTTGGGAATTTGTTTTTTAATGCCTACTAGTCAAATATCTCAGATCTCTTAAAAATGCCAAGAGACCATAAATATCGTATAGCTTTGTAAATAATAGAATTCCAGAAAAAAATAAATATATATGTTCTGAACCTAGAGTTCAAAATTTTTTAATTGGTGTATAAAATTAACAATTACCTGAGTACAACAAAGACAACTGATTCTGATGTACACATTTAAATCCAGAACTAGCCAAAACTGGTTTGGCTCAGGGGATAGAGCATCGGCCTGCGGACTGAAAGGTCCCAGGTTCGATTCCGGTCAAGGGCATGTACCTGGGTTGTGGGCACTTCCCCAGTGGGAGATGTGCAGGAGGCAACTGATCGATGTTTCTCTCATCATCGATGTTTCTAACTCTCTATCTCTCTCCCTTCCTCTCTGTAAAAAATCAATAAAATATATTATAAAAATAAATAAATAAAAATAAATCCAGAACTAACCCTCCTCCTCCATCTGTTCCACATACCCTGGATTTAAGAGTAGTGTGTGGGGCCGAAACTGGTTTGGCTCAGTGGATAGAGCATCGGACTGTGGACTGAAAGGTCCCAGGTTCAATTCCGGTCAAGGGCATGTACCTGGGTTGCGGGCACATCCCCAGTGGGACATGTGCAGGAGGCAGCTGATTGATGTTTCTAACTATCTCTCTCCCTTTCTCTCTGCAAAAAATCAATAAGATATATTTTTTAAAAAAGAGTAGTGTGTGCTGTAATAAAATATAAATTACTCATATAGAGTAGGGAGGGGCAGGCTGTTTGATTATAAATAAAGATAACCATCATTTTTAAACCAACTGGGGGAGCGGGGAGTGTCAAATGATCTCTTAATACCTTTTTATTTACGTATTTTAAGAAGGTATCTAACTCCTGGTGTCTCCTTTTTTTAATCTTCTTATGTGAACAAACTTTCTCCAAGATTTTTTTCTGAAGAGGACCTGCCACATGGTCAACCCATCTTTTGTATAACATCTCTTTTCTTCTTGTATTTAAGAAGTCATGACGCTGTAAATACTTTTCTAATTCCTAGTAAACAGGGGTGTAAGAGATAAACATGTTATCTGAAATCTTTCTTGTTCTAAAATTTAAACTTCATTTCTATTCCTAAGAATAGCCCACAAAGTCACTCATTAATTGAGTCATTTACTTGGCTTCTACTGTGTGATCCACACTATAGTGGGAAAAGGAAAAATGGATAAATTAGACAACATGCCAGCTGTCCCTGGAGAGACACACTACAAAACAAAGCCACAAAACAACTTGGAGAGACAATATAGCAAGATATATATTTTTTTCCCAAAAAACTATCTAGACATGCTTTGAATAATTGTAAAGGTAGTGTTTATTAAAAATACATTTCATTTTCAAAATTAAGCTAATCAGCTGTTAACGTGTGTATACATTTTTTGGGACACCCTGTATATGTAGTTAAAAACAGGGACCCAAACAGACACTTGTATAGCAGTGTTCACTGCAGCATTATTCACAATAGCCGAAAGGTAGGATGGAAGCAAAGCAAGTGCCCTTCAACAGGTGAATGTATCCACAAAGCGTGGCATCTACATACAATGGAATAATACACAGCTACAGAAAGGGGAGGGAGTTCTGAGACCTGCTACCACATAAAGGAACCTTGAAAACAATATGCTAAGTGAAATGAGCCATAAAAGGACCAATAATGTAGGATTCCACTTACATAAAATATCTAGACTAGGCAAACTGATAGAGACAGAAAGTGAATTAGAGGTTAGCAGAGGTTTGGGGAAGGAAGGAAGGAAGGAGAGTTATTATTTAATGAGGACAAAGTATCTGATAGGGTGATGAGAGTTTTGGAAATAGATAGTGGTGATGGCTGTACCAGTAAATGTGAGTTTACTGAATTGTACACTTAAAATGGTTTAAAAATAGCAAATTTTATGCTATGTATATTTTACCACAATGGAAAAAAATATTTTTAAGATTTTTAAATATCCCCAAAGTGAGAGGCATTTCAGATGGACCTTAAAGAATGAAGAGTTATCTAGGAAGAGAAGAGATGACAGAGAAAGTGGAAGAAGAATATTCCATGGGGGGAAAAGAGATAAAGCAAAGAGACAGGAGTGTAGCACAGCCGAGTCCAAATGGCCTGCGAAGAAAATGCCTGGTTTAGGCTATAAATTCAACCATTCTCACAAAACTTTTTTTCATCAAGCCAACGAAATCATGTAATTTTGGGGATCAACAACATAACATTTAAAGTGGGGGAAAAAGGCCCTGAGAGCTTCCTACTTTGTAGGGATTACCCCTTCCAAACTTCAGGTCATAGCACACTTCAACCCCCGCTCCCCCCGCCCCTTTTTAAACAACTCTGAAGAAAACCCTTAAAAACAAAAATGGGTTACCAATCCCAGTGTTTAGTGGACATTCACATGGACATTCACCTTCTCTTATAATTAAACCCATCCTGCTATAGTTCAAGCCTTGTTCTTACCTAGGTTTACATGAGTAATACTTGGTTGCTGTGTACCAATAACAGCTCTTAAAGCTCTTACCAATACATAGTGACTCCATCAAAGCCCCACTAAGATGAAGGAACAAGTGAGAAGGTACCTGTGAAAGAATCCCCACAAAGTATCGGAAAAGAGGAAGTCAATTAAAGCAACCTCAGAGGCCCCTTAAGTTTAATCCCAGGGGCCAATGAGCGTTTTTTAATTTTATTTTTAAAAACTTGTATAATGATGATGAACTACATGTAAAATGAGGGAAAAGTTAAAAATATTTTTATTGATTTCAGAGAGGAAGGGAGGGAGAGAAAGAGATAGAAACATCAATGATGAGAAAGAATCATTGATGGGCTTCCCCCTGTATGCCCCACACTGGGGATCAAGCGTGCAACTCAGGCATGTGCCCTGACCTGGATTTGAACCATGACCTCCTAGTTCATAGGTAGACGCCCAACTACTGAGCCACGCCAGCCGGGCAAGAAAGAAAATTAATTGAAACATTCTATAGTTAATTCTTACCTTATTTATATAATTTTCTCTATATAATATTGATTTAATAGCTGCATTAATATCTTCTCTGGCAAATGCCTAAAATGACAATGAAATTTTGAAAGTCAAATCTCAAAAAACAAAGTGTTAATACTATTGTGACTTATATTTTACATGACAGACATGTCTCTGGAAAATTCTCTGTAAATCCAGTTTTTATACCTAAAACTATATCATAAAGTACTATTTAAAGAGTATTTGAATCTTTCTGCTTTCAGCTAAACTCATTCTAGGACCAAAAAAATAAAATAAAATACCGATAATGACAGAAAGCAAATCCAAGATGGTCTTGATGGCTGGCAGGGAGGGAGGGATTGCCAAGGACACAATGAAGAAACTTCGGGAATATTGACTCTGTTCCTTACCTTGATTGTGGTGATGGTTTCGTGTGGGTATACATGTTAAAATGTATCAGACTGTATACTTTAAAAATATGCAGTGGATTGTATGTATATCACGTATACCTTTATAAAGCTGCTTAGAAAAAATAACAATCTTAAAAAACACACAATCTGTATGAATTGTGTGCTTCAAGAGAAACTCTGTAACTTTGCTATATTAGAAAACGTAAATAATCCATGACCCATGATTCTACCTTGAAGAAGCTGGAAAACCAAGAGCAAACACAACGGCAGTACACAGGAGAGAGTAAAACAGAAAACATAGACAAAATACTACATTTCACACAAGCCAGTTCTCAACGCAACTACCCAAGTATAAACTTGCAGGCGCCGCACCCTGTACCTCCACGAAAGGAAGTGGCTGCGGTTCCAACCATTCTTTTGAGCTCTTGAGTCTGGGAGGCCTGTCAATGAAGAGATCTTCGCTGTCTACACTATTCATGGCGGTTCCCGAATGGCAGAGCCCCTGGAAAAACGAAAACGTTAGCTTATTTCGTAACGAGAAGTCCCCATCTCATCCTCTTGTGTTGAATGAGTCGTCGATGCTTGTGACCACCGACGGGCGGGAGCGGATTCGGGACATGAACCCTCCCTCCATCCGCACCGTCCCTGGCGAGGGCCTGCGCCGTGGCTTCGGATCACGTCCCCAGAACCAGGGCGGTTCCCTCTGCCCGGACCCGCGTCCCCCTGAACGCCAGGCTTCCCCCGCACCCCGACCACACAGCCCCTTAACAACAGTGTGGCAACCGAGGCCTGGCTGCTGGGAGTCCCACCGCCGCAGTTTTCTGACCCACGGCCCCGAGACGCAACGTTCTGGCCACCGGAGCGCACAGCGGCCGGGCTGCCTGGAGAAGCGAGGGGCTTTCGGACAACCACGTGCTTGTCCCCAGGGCCCGACCCCAGGACCGTGTCTCAGGGGGACGCTGCCCTG